CAGCCATCAAAAGGAATGAGATTTTGCCATTTGCAACGATGTGGATGGAACTGGAGGGTATTATGTTGAGCGAAATAAGTCAAAAAGAGAAAGACATGTATCATATGACCTCACTGATATGAGGAATTCTTAATCGCAGGAAACAAACTGAGGGTTGCTGGAGTGGGGGGTGGGGTGACTGGGTGATAGACACTGGGGAGGGTATGTGCTCTGGTAAATGCTGTGAATTGTGCAAGACTGTTGAATCTCAGATCTGTACCTCTGAAACAAATAATGCAATATATGTTAAGGAAAAAAAAAAGAAGAAGGTAGCAGGAGGGGAAGAATGAAGCAGGGGAAATCAGAGGGGTAGACAAACCATGAGAGACGATGGACTCTGAAAAACAAACTGAGGGTTCTAGAGGGGAGGGGGGTGGGAGGATGGGTTAGCCTGGTTGTGGGTATTGAGGAGGGCACATTCTGCATGGAGCACTGGGTGTTATGCACAATGAATCATGGAACACTACATCTAAAACTAATGATGTAATGTATGGGGATTAACATAAGAATAAAAAAAAAAAAAAAAAAACCTCCTGACTCCAAGTTCCACTGGTTATACAAACTCATGGAATTCATCCCTTCTGGTTTTCAAAGCCAGATGTTATGGGGACTTGTTTTCCACCCCCCACCTCCATGGGTTCCCTGGTGCTTTCCCCTCTCTGTGCCTGCAGTTCTGTCCTTCCTGCAGGCAGCTCCCTACCACTGTTTCTGGCTTCCTAATCTCTCAGATACAGCCTCTTCTCTACATTTAGTTGTGCAGTTTGTTCTGCCAGTCTTCAGATTGTTTTCCAGTTTATTTACTTGGCTGTGAGTGATATCTAGTTGTAAACATGGCATGGGGTGAGCTTAGGTCCTCCTACTCTGCCATCTTCCCAAGCTCCAGAAATGACATTTATTTACAAACTCCACATGCTCTCCAATATCTTCTTAATTCTGAATTGACTCAGCAGTTCTCTGCAAGCAAGCTAATCTCCTACTAGAACCTCCTGCTTTTACCACCTTACCTTCATCTTAAACACTGCAACATTCTTAATCTTGTTGTTACTACCCTTGCCTGACAAGGGCAAAGCCCATGACTTTGAGATAATAATATCACATTTTATGACACTGCTTCCTGGTGTTTGAAAAGTCCCTTTAACTAATCCTGATGTAATTTTGTTTGTTGATGATCATACTGTAAAAATGAAAATTGGAATTTCCAGGCAGACTATACTGTTACTACCCAGTATGTACTACTTGAAAGGGTAAACCTTCCATATGCTAAATCAGCCTAACAACCAGAGCTCCACACTCTTACCAGAACATGCCAATTATCAAAAGGACAAATTGTTAATATTTATATTGACAGCCAGTATGCCTTTGGGGCCATATCTGTGATTTGGGGATGTTATAGAAACCAAGGGGTTTCCTTTCATCCACTGGGACTTCAATAAAAAATGGACAGCAAGTAAATGACCTTCTTGCTGCTATTATCTTACCTTCTGAAATTGCTATGATCAAAATTGAGATTCACAGTAAAAGGACTGAAATTGAGTATCAGGAAAATGCCCTGGATGACTTTTATGCAAAAGCAGCAAGAACAGAAACTATAAAGGTTTTTGGCATATGTAGATGAAGTTATTCTTCTTCTGCAAAAAATAACCTCTTGTTGCCAGACTTTTGTCATCCTGATGTCCTGTGACATGGCAACAGTCTGCTTCTGATTCAGAGAAATCAGTGTGCAAACAATGGTTGTAAATTCAATGAATAATTGGGGCTATAAGAAACCCAAGATGGCCATTTGATTTTTATTATACAAGCCCCATCTTTTGGTTCTCGCATTCTTTCACCAACCATTGTGCAGCTATGATCAACCACTTTGGAAAAAAAGTTTAACAGTTCCTCAAACGATTATTGTAGTGTTGCCATGAACTCTGGAAACGTTGTGCTAAATGAAGAAGTCAATCCCCAAAGAATACATATTGTATGATTTCATTTATAGGAAATATCCAGAATAGGGAAATCTATAGAGACAAATTATGTTAGTGGTGCTTTGACCTAGAGACAATGAGAGGATGGGGAGTGATAGCGAAAGTGTACTTTTTGAGTTTCTTTTTGATGTAATTAAATGTCCTAAAATTGACTACGGTGATGGTTGTGCATATCTATAAATATACTAAAAACCATTGAAGTGTACACTTTAAGTCGATAAATCTTATGGTATGTAAGCCATAGTTCCATACTGCTTTTTTAAAAAGATATGACAATCTTAGTTAGATTTGGTTATTAATTGAATATGAGGGACAATGATGAGGGATTCAAGGATGATGCCCAGATTCTGAGTTTGCCAATGGGTGTGAATACTAAGGCAGAAAACAATTGAAAAAGAAACAGGTCTAAGGTAAAAGTAAAGGGCTAAAGAGAGAGCAAGACAGCATATATAGAGATTTTTAAACTTTTTTAGGGGTGAGGAATCATGGCCTCTTTTGAGAATCAGCTAAGAAGTTTGGCTCCTCTCCCCCACAAAAAGGTGAATATATTACTACCTTCTCACATATAGCGATAGTATTTGAAAATCTGTTCCATAGACTTCTGTGTTGAGAATAACTAATCTAAGTTTACTCAAGATGGTCAATAGATGGTATTCCTTGGGCCCTGGCATAAATGAGGGAGTACCAGGGTGAGCATGGACTGCCAGATAGTGACCCTGCAGCAAGGCTGGGTTCTTCCTGAGTGCCCTGGAGGTGGGCAGGATAGGGTGAGGATCCCAGCAGTCTGCACTTCTTAACCCAGGTGAGAGATAGCAGAAATGTCCCACAAAGGCTTCCACCTGAACAAGGTAACAAAGAGGAGAGAACAGAAAGATTTGGGAGGCTCTCTCCACAGCAATCAATTCTCTACTATTTGACTCCTCTACCACAGAGGTATAGAAGAGGTATGAGAACAGACACACACACACCCACATCTGTCTGGGAGATGAGTCACTAGGTGGGAATTTGAGGGAGAAATGGAGGGAAGAAACTAAAGGAATTTACTTAGGTCACTACTTTGGTCACTTGTCCATCTGTATTTTTGGAGTAAACACAGTCAAGAGCCTGAATGTGGGAAATAAAAAGCTCTGGAATGTGGCAGTGGGAAGATGGGCACCTTCCCAATCTCTTACCAGAGCAGGGACCATCTGACTATCTCTGCATCCCTCAACCTGCCACTGCCTCACAGCCCTTCCCTTTGCTTAGGTCTTCAAAATCATCATTAATAATAGCCATTAAATTTTAGCAGATGACTTCAGTTGTCAGCAAATTCTTTTCTATATATAATGAATGTTAATCATAATAGAATAAAATATAAATGTTTATTAATAAATCTTAAAATTTGCTCCAGAAGGGGGGAATTGGTGGGTTATTTATATAAAATGACCAAGAGCTGACAACTGGATTTCTCCTGGATCATTTTCAAAACACCATTTGTGTTCAAGAAGGTTCTCTGCCCCCCACAAAGCCTCCCTCCTTTTTTTTTTTTTTTACAAAATTTTAAAACAATCTAGAATGTTCTAAAATGAAGTTCTGTGGAGCCCAGAGAAAATATTTTCTGTGTGGTGCAGAACATAAAAAATGAGTTTTCTTTTTACTTCTCCAGGTTGAAGCATGTCTTTTAAAAATGAAATTTCATAATTTTGTTTTTTAAACAATACTGATTGTTAAAAAAACAATAAAGAGAAATTTTTAGGAAGCAGATACACAGCCAGGGAGAAGAGGAGAAAAAACTGAAAAGACCAAGCCAATGCGAAGGCCTTGGGGAGAGGAGGAGGGTGATATGCAGACCCTCCCCGGTAACCAGAGAAAGGTAAACCCTAACCATAAGGCGGTAAGGCTCCTTGTGGGCCCTCAGATTGAAGAGAACAGAGCTGAGGGACAAGACGGTGCGCGCTGTGGCCCCGCGCACAGACAAGCGGAGGGGGAGTTGGTGCGTGCAGAGGTGGGAGGCAGGGTCCAGTAGAACTCCCCGCCCCCCGAGGGAGTGGAGTGGGAGGGGAGAGAGCTCCTTGGTGACGCGGGGCCCTCACGTGACCTGGAGCTGCAGAGCAACGCAGCCTTCCGTGCAGTCGTCAGTCCCGCTTCTGGGTACCGGCTCCCCGCTGTCCTGCGGCTGGCGGGCTGGCAACGGGCGCGAGGAAAGCAGAGCAGGTAAGGGCTCCTGGGCCCGCGCGCGAGGCCAGGGCGGCAGCGGTCCGCCTACTCCCAAAGCCGGCGCAGGAGATCAGCGCAGTGGCATTCTTGGGAACATCGGTAGTGACCCCCTGGGGTAGGGATGCTGGGACGGCCGGGAGGGCAGCAGAGCAACCAAGAGCAATTGGAAATCACCCGAGTTCCTACCGGAGAATGGTGAATCTCCGGGGCGGGGTGGGGGGAGGCTATGGGTGAGGGCGGGAGATGCGGATGAGGGGCGGCCAGGGGTGGCCGGGACCCAGAAGGGACCAGGTGTTGGCGGTTCGGCGCCAAGCGCTTCGCAACAGCCCCTGTTCCCTCCACGCCGGCCTTCTGCAGGTCTGCGGGTCTAGGTGTCAAGTGTCGCGGCGGCGCACTCACGGCGAGAATTGGGAGAAGGAGGAGGCAGCAAGGATAGGCCCAGGTCGGTGCTGCGGTCAGTGTGGGGGGCGCGTGCAGAGCCCAGTTTGAGACCCCCTTCCAACTATCCCATTACTCGTCCCCCGTCCTCCATTTTGGTGACTGCGGAAGCCTGGGGATGGATCTGTAGGAAAATGGTGGGTTTGTGGGGGGAGGTAGGACAGAGAAGTGGTGGTGGGGGGTCCGGACTTGGAGGCCCCCTAGAGGACGCACAAAGCTTTTCAGGTAGGAAAATGAAATTTTAAAAACCGTTGATATCCAGGGCTTTGAAAGAGGAGTAGTAAGGCCTCTGTCCTCGGTGCTGACCTGTCCACCAAAAACTCAGCCCCTTCTTTTGTCTTTTGTCTCCTAGGAGCAATGGCGTCCAAAGAGGAGCACGCAGTAAAAAATCTCAACATGGAAAATACCGACCAGGAAAATGAAAAAAAAGATGAAAAGGAGCAAGTTGCTAATAAAGGAGAGCCCTTGGCCCTCCCTTTGGAAACTGGTGAATATTGTGTGCCTAGAGTAAATCGTAGGCGGTTCCGTGTTAGGCAGCCCATCCAGCAGTATAGATGGGATGTGATTCAGAGGCTTGAAGAGCCGGGAAGGATGAGAGAAGAGAATGTGGAAAGGATTGGGGAGGAGATGAGACAACTCATGCAAAAGCTGAAGGAAAAGCAGTTCAGTCATAGTTTGAGGGCAGTTAGCACTGACCCCCCTCACCATGACCATCGTGATGAGTTTTGCCTTATGCCTTGAATCCTGGTGTTTTCTCTGAAGTTAATAGGGAGACACCTGCTTTCTAAACTTATGTGTTCATGATATAGCTTTGTTATAAACCTTTTGATGTAACTCATTTCTAATATGTCTATTATTACTTCGAGTTGAATGTGTTTTTGATCCAATCTGTAAGATTTTGTTAGCAGGAGAACTTTACCTATTGCATGGAAAGATGGTCATTATATTGTGAAACCAATAAAGCAGTCTAAAAAAAGCAACCTCTGTATTTTTATTTCAAATCTTATATTTATGTATTTAGTACATTCAGTGAAAAATGCTGAAATTAAATATACCAAAGGATTAATATAGGGACTTATTTCTGTGAAATGAGTTGATGTGTTTTCTTTCATATTTTCTGTAGTTTTAGAAAAAATGGAAACTATTTTTAATGACCTTGTGAAAGTAGAAGGGTCACTTCATAAATACTTGGTATGAAATTTGGATATTTTAGCCAGTTGAATAAACCCAGTAATTATAAAGTGAGGACAAGGACTGTACATGACTGAAATAAGATCAGGTGTGTGTGAACTATGTTTACCTATTTTTGCCCTCATCCCCACCTATTAAGCAGGACCCCCTATCCTCAGATGTTCCCTTCAGATATTTAGCAGAGTTTCCAAAGATAGGTCTCACCAGTCCAGCATCCCTCTGCTGGTCAAGCTGAATTCTGCCTGGCAAGAAGTAGGCCCTTAACAAAATACGATTAATAATGATTGAGACAGGAGCTCTGAGATCTTGTCTCAGTTCAGTCCCTGAATAAAATAAACTTGGATATGCCGTTTCACTTCTCTAGAAGAGATTACTGGCAATTCCTAAAGGAACAATGAATTCATTAATAATGTCTTAAAGTTCTTAAACGTATGCTAATCTGCCATGTATGTGAGAATCATCTGAGGACTTTCTTGAAAATGTAGACTCTTGGGTCGCCTGGGTGGTTCAGTCAGTTAAGCTTTGACTCTTGATTTCAGCTCAGGTCATGATCTCAGGATGGTGAGATTAAGCCCCCCATCAGGCTCCGTGCTCAACAGGGAGTCAGCTTGAGATTTTCTCTCTCCTGCCCCGCCCCCACACTCCTGTGCGCTTATTTGTTCTTCCTCTCTCTCTCAAATAAATAAATAAATCTTAAAAAAAAAAAGAAAATGTAGACTCTTGATCCTACCCTAGATGTACTGAATGGGGATCCAGAACTTTAATTTTTAGCAAGCATTCCTGGTAATTCTGATGCACATTAACATCTAAAGGTCTCTTATGTGTATACATTTATTGTCTCAATTCTTAAATAGGAACCATAATGAAGAACATAAAGGTGAATATCTGAATTCGGTGGAAAGAAACATTAAAATGCAAAGAGAGAAAATTAAAAAGGCCTTTAGATTTACTATATAAAAATTAAAATTTAAAGTATGTACACTAAAAAATTTACAGTGGTTGTCTCTTATAAGGTATTGGGTGATTTTTTTCTTTGTACTCAAACTACATTTTTCTTGATGAATCTGGATTACTTGTGGTAAAAAGAAATAATAAGTCAGTAATAGATCCACATCCAATGAACAATTCAGTGAGCTTATAAATGAAGTGCAATGGAGGCACTTAAAAATTCTCATTGGGGGCGCCTGGGTGGCTCAGATGGTTAAGCGTCTGCCTTCGGCTCAAGTCATGATCTCAGGGTCCTGGGATCAAGTCCCACATCGGGCTCCTTGCTTAGCAAGCAGCCTGCTTCTCCCTCTGCCTGCCACTCCCCCTGCTTGTACGCTCTCTCTCTCTCTCTCTCTCTCGCAAATAAATAAATAAAATCTTTTAAAAAATTCTCATTGACAGAACTTAGATATTATAGATTGCAAATTATTCTTGAATATAGTATTCATGGCTTGGTGTAATTGTCTCTCCTATAGAGTGGGCAAAATCACTAGATCTTACTTCTAATCAATAGACTACAACAAAAGCGATGTGATGCCTCTTCTGTGATTGCGTTGCAGAAGATTGTGGCTTTGGTCTTGCTACAAGACTTCCTCTTCCTCCTTCCCCTCCCCTTTGCTGGCTTTGATGAAACAAACTGTCATGTTGGAGAGGCTCATATGGCAAAGAACTGGCAGTATCTCTCAATCAACAACCAGTGAGGAACTGGGACCCTCAATCCAATAGCCTTTGAGGAAGTGAATCCTGCCAAACAACATAGGTAAGTTCGGAAGCAGATCTTTGCCCTTTCAAGCCTTCAGGTAAGACCTTGCCCCTGACCAAAATACTGATATGCACAATTAGCTGTCCTGAGCCAGTAAGAGCCAGCTTCAAGCACACCACTGACTCAGAGCCCTCCCTTGTCAAGATAGTTAAAACAGGGACATTACTAGGCAAGGAACATGAAAGATGAGAATGAAAAAAGGAAATGTCTTTTGCAAAGGAGATGGATGAGCATAAAGGAGAGAAAGATAAGAGAAAAAGAGACAGAGGCAGATAGAGTCCTAGCGTATGCAGTATAGTTATGACTAAAAGGGACTACAGGATTGTGCGGGTGGGGTGTTATTTTTTGTACCCAGCTTTTTTTAATTTAGATTACCTAGTTATCACCCTGGTACTTCAATTTATTGTCCCTAATTCATATCAACTGCATTTCAAAAGTAATTTGAAGCAATGGTTCAGCAAATAATTATAATTTGGCTCAATTTGGGACTCAAGATATTTTTATGTTCTAAATATGCAGAGTACAATATGGTAATAATGAGCCACGTGGTTATTAAGAACTTGAAATGTGACTAACACAATATGAAATGTGCAAAAGTGTAAAGCATACACAAGATTTTAAACACATGGTACAAAAAAAGAATGTAAAGCATTCACAAGATTATAAACACAAAGTACAAAAAAAGAATAAGGGATTAATAAGTTTTTTATTGATTACATGTTGAGATGAGAGCATTTTGGATATACTATGTTAAATAAAATATATTATTAAAATTAATTTCACCACTTACTTTTTACTTTTAAAAAATGTGTTTACCAGAAAAATTAAAATTAGATATATGGCTTATATTATATTTCTGTTGAACATCACCATTCCAAATCATTTTTAAGATACACCATGTTTTCTAAACTAAAAAATATTATTTTAGAAATTTCTGATAATAAAGATGATACACATTCCTTTCAGAAAGCACAAAGAAATATAAAGAAGAAAACTCTTAAAAAAACATTTTAATCCTACTAAACATTATTAAATATTTATTTTTTTAGTCTCTTTTCTACACAAAACATCCACAAATGGAATCTTGTTCTATAAAAGTTGGATCACACTGTATATACTATTTTGTATGCTGCTTTTTCACTTAACATTTTTAAGTTAATCCTTTTCCATTATCCTTAAGGATTATTTGAGATAAAGTTATTTAAATGGATTAACAAATTTAATATAATAACAGAACAGGGAGAAAATATAGATGATTATTTAATTTAAGCACAATAAAGGCATTTCTCAACATACAACTCAAGGCAGAAATTATGCAGAAAATTACTGATTTTATTACATAAAAAATAAACTTTTATATGGCATAAGTATAATTTAGAAAGACAAATGAAATATTGGAAAAATAATACATAAGAAAGACAAAAAGTGGTTAGGACTTCTAGTACTATGTTGAATAGCAGTGGTGATAGTGGACATCCCTGCCATGTTCCTGACCTTAGGGGAAAAGCTCTCAGTTTTTCCCCATTGAGAATGATATTTGCTGTGGGTTTTTCATAGATGGCTTTTATGATATTGAGGTATGTACCCTCTATCCCTATACTCTGAAGAGTTTTAATCAAGAAAGAATGCTGTACTTGGTCAAATGTTTTTTCTCATAATATGTTCTTATAATTGTTTGTATTTCTTTGGTGTTGGGTGTGATCTCTCCTCTTTCACTCATGATTTTATTTATTTGGGTCCTTTCTCTTTTCTTTTTGATAAGTCTTGCCAGGAGTTTATCAATCTTATTAATTCTTTCAAAGAACAAGCTCCTAGTTTTGTTGATCTGTTCTACTGTTCTTTTGGTTTCTATTTCATTGATTTCTGCTCTGATCTTTATTATTTCTCTTCTCCTGCTGAGTTTAGGCTTTATTTGCTGTTCTCCAGCTCCTTTAGGTGTAGGGTTAGGTTGTGTATTTGAGACCTGTCTTGTTTCTTGAGAAAGGCTTGTATTGCTATATATTTTCCTCTTAGGACTGCCTTTGCTGCATCCCAAAGATTTTGAGCAGTTGTGTTTTCATTTTCATTTGTTTCCATGAATTTTTTAAATTCTTCTTTAATTTCCTGATTGACCCATTCATTATTTAGTAAGATGTTCTTTAGCCTCCATGTATTTGAGTTCTTTCCGACTTTCCTCTCATGACTGAATTCTAGTTTCAAAGCACTGTGGTCCAAAAATATGCAGGGAATGATCCCAATCTTTTGGTACCATTGAGGCCTGATTTGTGACCTAGGGTGTGATCTATTCTGGAGAATGTTCCATGGGCACTAGAGAAGAATGTGTATTCCGCTGCTTTGGGATGGAATGTTCTGAATATATCTGTGAAGTCCATTTGGTCCAGTGTGTCCTTTAAAGTCTTTATTTCCTTGTTGATCTTTTACTTAGATGATCTGTCCATTTCATTGAGGGGAGTGTTAAAGTCTCCTACTATTATTGTAAGACTGATGAATCACAGACCTGTACCTCTGAAACAAATAATACATTATATGTCAAAAAAAAAAAAAGATAGTAGGAAGGGAAGAATGAAGGGGGAGAAATTGGAGGGGGAGACTAACCATGAGAGACTATGGACTCTGAGAAACAAACTGAGGGTTCTAGAGGGGAGGGGGGTGGAGGGATGTGTTAGCCTGGTGATGGGCATTAAAGAGGGCACATATTGAATGGAGCACTGGGTGTTACACACAACAATGAATCATGGAACACTACATCAAAAAATAAGAAAGAAGAAAGAAAGAAAAAGAAAGAAAGAAAGAAGAAAGAAAGAAAGAAAGAAAGAAAGAAAGAAAGAAAGAAAGAAAGAAAGAAAGAAAGAAAAAGGAAGAAAGGAAAATAAAGGAAGAAAGAAAGAAAGAGAAAGAAAGAAAGAAAAAGAAAGAAAGAAAGAAAGAAAGAAAGAAAGAAAGAAAGAAAGAAAGAAAGAAAGAAAGAAAGAAAAAGAAAGAAATTCAGGTGAACAATTGGAAGGAATAAAAAAATAAGAAAGAAAAAAAGAA